TTTTTTAGTTTCATACTTATTGTGACTTACTTTCCTTTTGTTGAAGCTTTTTACTAATTTTCTTTTGTTTGATAAACATACATTTCTTCGTACTTATATATATATATATATATATATTTCAATATAATGAATAATTTACATGTCTCTTTATTTTAATATTAAGGTTAGACAACTTTGTAAATTAATTTATTTTTAATTGTCATTTAATTATTCTCAATTGCCAGACAATTGTCATTTCTTTGTTCATTGTAGTTATTCTGAGGGGACTAAATGTCGCAGAATAAAATTTACTGTCTTTGTTTCTTTCTTCCTAAATAAATTTAAATTTAAATTTATTCTGCGACATTTAGTCCCCTCAGAATAACTACAATGAACAAAGAAATGACAATTGTCTGGCAATTGAGAATAATTAAATGAACAATTAAAAATAAATTAATTTACAAAGTTGTCTAACCTTTATATTAAAATAAAAAGACATGTAAATTATTCATAATATTGAAAATTCTTAATATTAACAATAAAGACACTGTAGTAAACATCTTGAAGTAGATATATGAATTTAATGAAGATTACATACGGGTAAGTTCACGAATTTGTACAAATAAGCAAATATGACACATACATAGATATCTGCAAGATATCGGTATAGTGTAACTGACATCTCTAAAGTATAAAATAACTATATTTTCCATATATTCGGAAGACTAATTACTGAGTAGATGGATAAATAAATTATGTTTAAATGAGATCCGAGAATGAGGATTTCCGTAAAAAGGTAGGTAGGGAATTCCAAAACGAGGCAGCACGTATGACGAAGAATTTTTTAAAGGAAACACTTCTATGAGAAGGAATTTATTGAATAATATATCAATTTGTCACATGGACATTGGTTATATGGAGGTAAGATAACATTAACACAATATGTGCAAAAAATAAAAAAGAAACAGAAGCTTAGCAAATCCGAAGGATCGATGTTGATAAAACAAATCGATGTTTAATACTTTATTATATTAATATTGTAAAGCAATGATAAGTTAGGAAATTAATTAACTTCAATATTGTTACTTACCAGAGTCTAGCTCGTGTGGTGCCGGAGTTGTTATTTGTTCTACCCTAACTAGTACGGTTTCTGTGACCTTTGAGATAGTGTTAATTCAGGTTATGTTTAGTTGGCTTTTATTATGTCCATAGATATTGAAAAATAATTAAATTTTTGGATATTAATATTGTTCATTAGAACTAATTTATTGTAAAAATACTTTAAATTAAAAAAAAATTTATTTGACTTTTATGTATGGCTCTACCACATACATATATCTTATATTTTTATATTTACATGATACCTGAATTTCAGAAACCTTAACAATGATTAGTTATTATCTGATACATCAAATTATTTAGGTTTCGAATTGGAATCATGTGATATTAGAGCTTTTATTTATCGATAAAAAATAAAGTTCTAAAATGACTAAAGTAGAAATTTTTGTCCGTCGTAAATTCGTTACATTGTATATTGAAAATATTTTTCAACATTTTTAACTAAAAATATGGTATTTTATAGCGAAACTCTTGGCCAGATAAAAGTAATGAGTAGATAATATCAGTTCAGAAAAAAAAATGAAAGTTTAAAATACCTTAAAATATGTCTTTGAAGGTAAATTTTTAATGAAAAAATGAATAAAAAAAGATAAGAAAAACGTATTCAAGGTAGAAAAGACAATGATAATAAAAATATCCTTAATACTCAAATTTTCGTCTGTATAAACCCTTTTTTTCATCCTGATGTAATAAGTTAATAACATAAAGCTATTTATTTATTTTTTTCTTTGAAGTAATTCTTCAAGATACGTCTACATTTTTCAGTTAATTTTCCATTCGTTTTAAAGTCATTATATAAACAATATATATTAAGTTTTATATTAATACAATATAAAATAAATGTTTGATCGAACGAACATATTTTAAGATACAATATAGAAAAAGTCAATATATGACAGTTAATTGAACCGAATTCAATATTTATACTTTTTATAATATATGTCATATGATTCTCATTGTGTATATAACGTTGAAATCATCTTATAAACTAAAAATATGATAGCGTTCAGGAAAAAATTCTGATAAAATTTATGTTTAAAAACTATTGATATTTGTAACTGAATGTAAATTTATTCATACTGAAATTGAGGGAGATCACAACAAACTTTTTTCAATTCGAATTTTTTTATTTTATTTTTCAAAATTTTATAAATAAAAATATAGCGACCACAAAATACATCTTTGAGTTTACACTGTGATCCGAAAATCTGGATTATGAAAAGATATACAATGTTCGGTTCATTATCTGTTTTGTTTTTGCAAAAGACAACCTTTCAAAAGGTCATCAATAATGAAGTATTAAGAGGGGTAGGATATTCTGAAATCTAGATATTTTTTTTTCCCCGTCTGATGGCTTATATATATATATATATTATCCACGACAGTCAACCAATTACCAATTATTTATTATATATATATATATATATATATATATATATATATATATATATATATATATATATATATATATATATATATAGAGAGAGAGAGAGAAGAGAGAGAGAGAGATACATACATATATATATATATAATATATATATATATATATATATATATATATATATATTATGACTACTATATATTGACAATCAGATGATTTATATTTCTATAAAAATGTATTTGCATTTGTCAACGTTTTGTTAACAATTAGCAACTGTGCTTTTAATACAAGATATAATAAAAGATATACCAGGCATGGGAAAGGGCAGTATCTACCTATACCTGATATCTAGATTGATTCAATTATTTAAGTTGTTTGAAGAAGATCTATTATCCAGTGCTTTTTTATTCTTCTTATAATTAGTTGTATATAAGCTGAGGTCATGTCTGTTATTAACATATCAACTACTAGTGGAAGTCAGTAGTAGAGTTTTGTTAGTCAGGCACTAAGATGATTTTATTACGAGCTGTAATAATTTTAATTGGAAGGTTTGAAGTTTTTGTTGCTGGAACTTTTAGACGTAATCTATGATGAGGATGTCCAACTAGGATTAAGTAGGTATGTACATGTATTCAGTTTAAGTAGTTTAATTCGTGTTTCCCGTATCATTTGTACATCATCAAGTCGGAGGTAAGTCAAAGATGAAGTACCACATCTGTTTGAGGAATGCGGTTGTTGTTAATATAGACTGGAGGACAATTTTTTGAAGTTGAATCTTCCTTAGTTTGAGTTAGTCTTGTAATTTAAGACTGTAAAAAAAGACTTTGTGAATGAATGAAAATAATTGTATAAGAGTCTACTGTCAGTTTAGAACAAATTATAAATTGAGATTATAAATAGAACATGTCAGTGTGTTCATAATTCAATTTAAATATTCACAAAATAATTAATAATATAAAATAAAATAATAGGAAATAAAAAGATAGAAAAAAAATACACATATATAAAATAAACAGAGAAAGATTAAATGAAACAAATAAATAAACGGAATAGTATCTGGTAAAACTTAGAGAGTTCTTTTACATTTCATGATCAATTGAATTTGGAATGTGATATGAGCTTAAAGAGAAGAGATTCAAAAGAGGAAACTGACTGTGCGTGGGGAATATCGGAAGAGACAGAATTCCAGAGAGAGACGGCTTGAATTACAAAGGATTTTTTGGGAAAACAGTCCTCCGAATAAACTAAAGGTGATAAAAAATGAAGTGAAGCCGTTCCAGTCGCAGTAAACGCAGAGAGGAAGTTAACCTTACGCGACTAAGAATAGGTCATGTCCGGCTTACACACTTTCACTTAATTACAAGAGAAAATCCGCCCATTTGTTGTAAGTGTGGAGAGATAATGACAATGTTCCATATTTTTGAGAGTTGTGGCTTTTACATCAGAGGATACAAAAGAGGAATGCCAGCAAATACGTCAACTGCTTGGGGAAGTGATGGAAAATCCTGAGTAACGTTTCATACGTTTTCTCTATTAAGATTTTTTTTTTTTTTTTTTGGTTTATTGATAAATATTACAATCTGTCTCAATAAAAGACATTTATAATAGAGTTCTGAGAGCACATTCACACCATATTTACAAATTAAAAAAATATATAAATAAAAAAAATAAGCTAACTTCAAATAATATAAAGCTACAAAAGAACAAAATAAAATATCATAGTGAGAAAAAAAAAGTAATTAAAATAAACATCTTGGATCAGGAATACTTCTCTATTAAGAAGAAATCTTTAAACATTACTAACCCACCCACGCAGCACTACCCTCCTCTTTTTTTTTAAAGGTGCTATCTTTAAACTAAACTTTAATAACCTTAGATAACTTTAAAATTAACGTGCATTTTACATCTTTTTCATTTGATTTTGTTCCTATTATTCACAACCAGAGGATATAATTATATATAATCTTAATTACCGACGTTGATAACCAACAGGTTTAACGCCTTTAATATACAACAAGCATCTAACAAAGTATTTGTTAAACGCTGCAATACGGTGAGGAGGAGGAGGATAGTGGTCGGAGGTATGGGATCTGGTGGGATGTGATTGAATTAGAGATTTAAATAATTCAAGTGGTGTAAAGAAAATTAGACCTGTGTAGGATCTATGACTATGTTATAAAAAAAAAAAGAAGCAAAAAAATTGTTTTCCACTAACATATTAGATAAATATCAACATTATTGTATGTAACAAAACTTTTTTCTATTGCCTAATTTTAATTTAATAAACGAATAACTTGTCAAAATACACTTAACAGTTTTCATTTCATACTTGTATAAGTAGTAATATATTGACATGGTTAAAAGAAAAGTCATCAAAACCAGAGAAATTCACTTAAAAAAAGATGAAAACTTCCCTCTCATAAAGCTGATGCGGAAAATAAACTCCCTCCGCTGAGGAAAAGCCCGGGAAAACTCATAAGAAAGGAAATAGACCGGCGAGCCTGTTATAGAAGAAAAATTCTTAGCAATTTGCGTGTGTTGTGTACCGCTCCAACTGGATTCCGTCACGAACGGGTCTCGAATATCCGCTGCGTGCGGTCAGTAATTGAATAAGCATGGTGTTGATATATTCGTGTTGATATTGCCCCGTCAATATAGCCCTTGTTGTTTTATAGTGGCCCTTCGGCTCCAAGATGTTTTCTTCTCCATTCCGTCCCTTTGGCTGTATTAACGATCTCAAACTATGAAAATAGTTTTTGTTGACCTCGGGTAACTTATCAGCTTCGAGATATCCAATTGTATACAAATTTATCAGAAATTATATTATAGATTATAAATACATAATTATTTAAGAACTTATTTCATTAATAAATATTCACTTTATCTTATTGTTAAATATTCTTAATCGTATTCAATTGCAAATTGGATGGAAAAAAATTTGATCTCTAATGCGACACTTTTTTTTTGGCAAAGTAATATAAGGGTAGTTTATTCATACTATGTACTATAAATAAATATGAATAAAGAGCAAAGTAATTATACTAAAAGTAAATGTAAAGAAACCAAACTAAATAAATCAAAATAACTACTTGAATACACTCATACTTTTATACAATATTACAAAATTTATCCTACTCAAAATCTCCTAGCCAAGCCTTTTCTCCTACGCTTAGAGGGAAAGGCAGACTCTAGGAGATCCCAACGCCTCTCGCTAAGCCGTATTGTTGGGTTTAAAGACCAGTAGCGGCTGAGCAGACGCACTCTAATAGAACTCAAAGTGATATATGTAACAGAATCTAAAGAGAAAAAAAAAATACATTCAGAAAAATAAAAAAATCATATTTTTAGCTAATCTGTGGATGTGACCACTGATCCCAAACGTGATACTTTCATAGTGCCTCTGAATCCTATAAAGATCCATTCATATGAAGTATTTAACAAAATTTAAACTAAATATTTTTATTCAGTTAAGAGAAAAAAATGTGAAATATATTTTAAAACGTCTTTAAGTTAATTAGGATAAATTATTCAACGATATGAACTTGGCACTAACAGCGTGTGTGAGTGAAGTAGTTGTGTATCTACTATTGTGACGTAGCTTCGTACCCACCACTTTTCTTTAGCACATATCTTGGCAAATATGTATGCTTTAAAAAAAATGGAACTTTATATATTTGTATCAATTTATAGTCTTATTATTTCCATAGAAGAATAAAAATTGAATTGATAGCAGTATGCATTTGTTTTAAGCTTTTAAAAAAAGTTTGCAACATTGATATACTTGAAGTTTGACTTTGCAAAAGATATATGCATATGCACATATATATTATTATTACGACTATTAACCAATTAACCATAAAACTATAATATATATACATAATTGGTAATTGGTTGACTGTCGTGGATAATATATATATATATATATATATATAAGCCATCAGACGGGGAAAAAAAAATATCTAGATTTCAGAATATCCTACCCCTCTTAATACTTCATTATTGATGACCTTTTGAAAGGTTGTCTTTTGCAAAAACAAAACAGATAATGAACCGAACATTGTATATCTTTTCATAATCCAGATTTTCGGATCACAGTGTAAACTCAAAGATGTATTTTGTGGTCGCTATATTTTTATTTATAAAATTTTGAAAAATAAAATAAAAAAATTCGAATTGAAAAAAGTTTGTTGTGATCTCCCTCAATTTCAGTATGAATAAATTTACATTCAGTTACAAATATCAATAGTTTTTAAACATAAATTTTATCAGAATTTTTTCCTGAACGCTATCATATTTTATATATATATATATATATATATATATATATATATATATATATATATATATATATATATATATATATATATATATATATATATATAGAGAGAGAGAGAGAGAGAGAGAGAGAGGGAATGGGAGAGGGAGAGAGTTCGTAGCTAAAATTACATTTAAGGAAAAAAAAGTTCACTAGTGTACAAGTTCTTTAGGACTATACTTCACCAAGTAACCTTCAAACATGGAACCTGGGGTATTTCGATGGTGTACTTAATTTTATTAAGGAATTTCTAAGCATGACAACCAATTTAATTAAAATGTGACAGTAAGTTATAACTCAGTAATGGCAACATTACTTATACATGTCCTACATTAAACCATATAACGGCTCAGCTTAGCTACGTAAATTTACTTTTGAATGTAAATTGTTGCCTTATTGAAGAAATAAATTGTGTATTACTATAATAATTAACTTATCCTTCAAGTTAATTAATACTACTATACATCCAAGAAGACTTTAAAATGGTGTATTATAAAATTCTTCTAGTATTTTACAACTGTCTACATCATATTTATTTATCGTTTATCTAGCGTTGATTTTTCATATTTCATTTTCTAGCAATCCCAATTAACAAAATTAGGAACAATATTAGTAATCCATAAAAAACAAATAAATAAAAGTACTAGGAATCAAAAATTTATGAAATGTGTAACGTTTGAGAAGCCAAGCCTGAAAGTTTTTTTTTCAAGTGAAGTTGTCTTTCTGTGGCAAGCATCTGATCCTTATGGCAAGCATAACTTTTACTACCATATCCTTATAAATAAAAAGAGTTTATTAGACAATAAGAGATTAAAAACAAGGAGAACAAACAATCAAGAATCAAATTCCACTAATTTTAGTGGACAAGAATATATTTAAAAACGGCTCATGCCGTAACTTTATCCTCAATCGAAAAATAATTGATTTTTAAATATAAGTATAATTTTATACAAATATATATGAAGAAACTATACTTATTGTAATTGGAAGTTTTTTTTTATAGTCAATACAACGCGTAAACAAGAAGGATATGTCCTCAATATAATTGTCTCTTTTAGAGGTTGTAGTTTATTTTTATTATTATTTTTTTAGGACAGTTACAGATATCATTTCATTATTTTTTAAATTTAAATCCATAAAATTGGTATAAAAAAATCTTTTCGTTATATCAAAAACTATAGATCTATGGAATAAATATAATTTTAGTCTTCCAAGCAATAACATTCGGTACAATTACAAAAACACAAAATACACATTTGCAACATAATCTTACTCACTTACGTTCATATGCCTAATGTTAACGAACGTGTACGAACCCATTACAAACGTTTCCATGACCATTTACACGGACAAGCCAACATAGTGACCACATGGCCACAATATACATGTCTAGTAACAACAACACGTTCGTGGAAGAGATGCTGGGTAAAGGACCTGCTCTTCTAACAATTAATGCAGCAATTATGGCAGGAGGTTAGCTATTAGGGCTAATAGTGATCATTTATACAATATAAATACAAAAGGAAAATAAAAATAAATTATTTTAACATATAGTAAATAAGTAAAGGAAAAAAAATATATATATTTTATTATTCTAGGACTCTTATCCGTTTAGAACTAATGATAAGTGTCTGTGAGGTCATAAATAAATTAAATATTTACTATTAGAATTAATTAAAAGTAAAAATATAGAAGCAAGAGAGAGAAAAAGAAAAGAAAGGCGTACATATATGTAAAACAAACAAAGGAAACTAAAATAACAGAAATAGTCTCTGGGCGTACTTACATAGTTCTTTTTTGTTATTTTTTTTATATTTATTGATTATTACAACAATCTGTCTATTGGACATTGGTTATAGGTAGGATAACATTCACACTATATGTACAAAAAATATAAAATAAAGAGAAGGAAAATAATAATCAAAAGTATATACAATAAATAATAAAATAAAAAGATTTGTTATCGGTGCCCCGAGGTACTCCCATATCTCTCACCACTACACTGAGTTAAGGTGGCTCTTCCCCTCCTTTAGAAGACAATATTTCCTAGGTACGTTCCTCTATCAAATCATTAACAACCATCGTCCTTCTTACGCCTACAACCTTCTCCAATTCAAGTCCTCAGTTCATTCCCTTTCAACAACATCTCGACCTTCTGACCTCTACATCTCTTCGCACAGATCTGGCTCATTTCAGAATTCCTTTATAGCTCGCGCCGTCAATTTCTGGAATTCTCTACCTATCAAAATTCGGCATTCTCCCTCCATGTCCACATTCAAATCCCTTCTATTCCGATTCCTATCCCAAAAACAGTCAGATACTTGCTAAACTTTCGATATTATACATTTCTAGTCATTATCAAACGATAGTGCTATTCTATACAGTGAACTTAACTAGGGATATTACAATATTTTCCGGCTCTTAATGCCACTGACCGCATCTATTGTTGGTTTTTTTATTTTATTTTTATTATTATTTTTTATCGATAAATAATTAAATCTGTACCTCTAGCATTTGACAATGATGAGCCTACATATTGATCATTATTTAAAGACACTGATATTTTTTATTGTCAGCATTGACTTTTCTTTGTTAGCAGAAACACCCCTCATGTTAATGAAGAACTCAATGTATTTTTTCTTATTTTATTTTTCAAAAGAGTATAATTATAATTTTTCCTACTGTACGTAGTCTTAAGTGTTTTATCATAGTTTTAAGTGTTTTGTATATAGATTTTTTTTGGATATAGCTTGTTTAACTAAGATTTTCTTTACTTTCTCTTTTTTATTATTGTTTTATTTTGGCCAGATGTATTATTTTAATTATGTTCTATTTTGTTATTCTAAAGGGACTTTGTCCCAGAATAAAGTTATTTTCTATTTCTTTTTTTCTGAAATAAAATAACCTAAAAATAAGAAAATTAAAACTAAGCGAAAAAACACTAAGTAGTTCTTTTAGGTATATTTCTTAGTCAGTCGGATTGAGAAAGGAGTAGGTGTTTAAATATCATGAAGGATGGTATTCCAGATGGAGGCGGCTCGAATCGCAAATAATTTTTCAAACGCAGCAGTTCAATGAGGAGGAGGATAGAGGTCGGAAATACGAGACCTAGTGGGACGGGATTGGATGGAGTATTTAAATTGTAAGCTGTAAAAAATATAGGAGGGTCGATGAGTTCTAATGACCTGGTACAAAAAGGTAGCTAGGAATAAAATAATATATTTCCTAATTATTTAGTATTAAACAAATAAAATAAAAAGATACAACCATTATACATAAATAAGCTGATTGCAACTACAAAATATTTTGTAATAACTGCAATAATATATTTGCTTTATCATTAATGAGTAATAATAAATGATAATTTATTTTTTTAAATTATCGTTGCTCAATAAAAGCGATTTCAAGCTAGCTCTTAATGATTGGCCAATGGGAATGATTTTTGATAAAAAAGGATCCCTCTGGAAATCCGGCTGATATATTGGCTGCGAATGGGATATGGGGTGTTTAAAAACTCTCTAAAAGCTTAGGGAGATAAAGAGGATGAAAAAAAAGAAGAAAATACAGTTATTCATAGGGGGTTTGTGAAAAGGACCTTTTATCTAAGTCTAAAAGAAGCTTTTCCCTGAATGGTTTTCACAGTTGAAGAAAGGGTCTGCTGTAGCGTTTAAAAAGCAATAAGACCCGGGCAAGCGATGGAGGGGGGAAGGGGTGGGGGAGTAGAGTGAGAGAGAACTATGGGCAGTAAAAAATGATCGTGATATTTTTCACATTTCATTTGGAGTACCACTGCATCCGAAGATGTCGCTACCATTAACTGCATTATAAGGAGACAACATTATTAAAGGACCAACAGAGAATTTCAGCTATAGGAATAATTTAACAAATTGCAGCCTCTCTTTTTTTTAACTAGGTGCTGCGGTTAGGTATACAATTCTTCTATTACTAAATCTATATATAATATATAATATATACATATAAAGTAAGGGTGTGCAAACGTTTTATAAATTGTTGATTTTCAAAAGAGTTTACCTAAAGTTCATGTAAAACTATAAATTTCATACAATAGTTTTATTGTCTTCAGTAATCTTTCTCTGTTTATAAAATAATATGCTTGTTTAAAATCTAATGTATATATGGGGGATGTGTAAGCAGTGGTCAATGCTTGAATGTGTAGTTATGAATAAAAGACTAACCCAAAAGATTAATTAAGACCAACACAAATTACTAACTCCTGAAGACTCACATTCAATTGAGTCGTTATTCTCAGTGAGACTCCTGCTTCAACAATGTTTACCACACACAACTCTCTCCTTAATAATACAAGGCGGGTGAAATATAGAACAGTAGCAAACGTCTTTTTGTGTACTTTGCTGGTTGTAGTGTACTATTTGTGTACTTTAAGGGCTGTACTCAAACACTGCGTCTGTGTCCAGCACCTGAGGGAATATTTCCAGCCGGGAATAATCTGAATTCACTTTAAACGAATTCCATTGGTCAATTTTAAACTATTGGGTATTAGGTCTTCCTGTTTTTATTTGATTTTCCTATAGTCGAAACCAGGTATTTCATTAAACAATTTTCATAGATTTATAATATAATAAAATTGTAGTATCACTTAAACAACTGCACACGAAAGATTATGTAGTAGCATTTAAAGTTCATATTATAAATAATGAAATCCAAAAATTATTCTACTGAGTAATATTGCTTCAAAAAATTCAAAACATAGATTTAAAATAAAATTAAAATTTTTTATACAACGTATAAAAGGCAAGAAAATGAAAATAAACTAGGAATACTAAAAAAAAATATTCTGTAAGTCCAGAACCAAATAAATTTGACAACAATTGATCAACATGTAAAATTGCTGTTTGCAAAAGGAAATATTAGAAAATATGTGTACCAAAACTAATAAAACAAACTCTATGTGGAATTCTAAACCTGAATCAATTACTGGCTGATCAAAATAACATTAAATTGTAATTTTTTTTTTTGAGATAAGAAAAAATTAGGGTGAACGCACCAGTTATAGACAGGGGACCCAGTGAAAGACTGTTTGGACTTTAAATATAAATAATAAGCTTCCTTGTTGATTTAAAGGTTCCAGTTTAGTTCTAGATAGAAAAGATGCCCCCTATTGACATTTGTATGAACAAAGTTCCTAAAAGAGAATTTGAAAATGTCTATCATTGTTGTTTTATAGTGCTCTTGAGATCAGTGTGTTTAATACCTTCATTCTAACAGTTTTTCTTAGAGTAAGTTAAACATTTATCTTATCTATATCGTCATCTTTGTAGTTAAATATAAATTAATTTTTTTTTCTTAGGTATGTCCATTACTGGTACCGCCATCCAGTCTATTACTAGAACAGTTGAAGTTCGGAATGTCCATCACTAGTGCAAAAAAAGTGTTTTATTATCTGTATCGAAATAGTGATTATAATAGCACTAAATATTTTTTTTCAATTTTAAAATGCCCAATAGAAAAAGGAGACTCTTGAGATTCTAAATGTCCAACGGAAAAGTTTATAACTAAAATAATTACGCAGGCATAAGCTAAAAACACAAAAATTTCCTTAGCTCCATTTCCATTTTCTTTAGTTCATTACTGCTTACCCTAACTAATTAACTGCTATTATACCAATAATTTTTAGATATTATATGAAGTGAATTCCTTCTGATTATTTAAAAATATGAATTTATATTTAAAATATATTTATTACTTCATTTAGTGAAGTCCAGGTTTTTAACTAATATACAAACATTTTCGATATTTCTGAAAATATAACTACTAAATTTAACTTATACTAATAACATTTCCTACTGTTGTTATGTCACAACTGGATAATAATTTATATAACTTATAAAAATTCATATGCAGTTTTATATATAAAACTGGATAGCTTATATTTTTTTCTGAAATTTCTCTAATTTATGATTTAAACATGAATAATTTAATTTTTCAGTATTTTATAGTTTTACTGTGCTAGATTATTTTATATAAGTTTTTCTTATGTAAATAATTTACATTTCATTATTTTTTTTTAGCTAGTTATCAAAACATGAATAAAATATATGCTAAGTTAAGATGACACTCGAATATAACTAAATAATTACTAGATGGCAAATTCAAATGTTACATCAAATTTAATAACATTTTTATTAATCATATAATTCATCAATGTTGTTATAAACTTTACTATCCTAAATAAATTAATATATATATAAATATAATTAATAAAAAATATAAAAGTATATATATATATATATATATATAATATATATATATATATATATATATATATATATATAAATTTATTTAGGATAGTAAAGTTTATTTATTTAATTTATTAATATACATATATATATATACATAATTACATGTTTTCAATAAATAAATGCAAAATAAATTTTATTTCACAGTTCGGGAGACGGATACTAAGATCTACGCCGCTAAGTATTGCGAAACTGTAGATGTTATGCGCCGTATTTAGAAAAACGTAAATTCGCATCTGAACCTTTCAACAGTTACGCATTAACATTGGATTAATTAATTAGTTAAATATGTGTATATTTTTTTATCATACTGAAATTTTCGAGTTTTAGTAAAACAGGAAAAACATGTATGACTTTAAAACATACATCTATTATGTTTTTTTTTCAATCACCTTAATTAATTAAAGAAAATAATATAGGTTAACCCTCATTTAAACATAAAATGAAATCAATAAACTTTTTTTACAGTAAAGATTTAATATTACTAGAATTAAATGCAATAAATAATTATTACATTTCCAGGGGAAAAAATAAAGAATAAATAAATATGTAAATGGTATCAAACAGAACAAAACGTGTGAAGTACACTGATGTCTGTTTGAAAGTGTAAATTTATGAAATATATAATATGTATTTAGTATTCAAGAACTTCGGTTTATAAGTCAATCAATAATGATAAATAATACGTTTTCTCTGAGATAAGACACATATATACGAGCTTTTACATCTGAAAAACGGATTCTTGAAACGGACATCGTACATTAACGCAAGGTAACTATAAGTCTGTTCATATGTCCGAACATATGAGTAAATTCGGACCTACATGACAAAATAATAAGAATGAATGAAATGAGACGTGTAAAATTACTGCACTCCATTTTTTTTTTTTTCAAAATCACCGAAAGTGAAATTTAGACAGGAATTATATATATATATATATATATATATATATATATATATATATATATATATATATATATATATGCTTATATGAACACCTTACAGATGAATGGCCCTACAAAAAAGATACAAATAAAAAAATGACATTTTCAATCCAAAATAGACTGTCCAATTCAACACTTACATACATTCTATTCCTGCTCACTTAGTAAACTTCAGGGACATAACGACAGAGTAATGAACGACATGACGATGGCTGATATACTTATCAGAAAGCGAGTGAAAAAGGACTGGACAAGGGAGCTCCTTTCTTGAATTAAGGAACTAACGAAAGATTGAGAAGAGGGGATGCCGGGTATTAAATCTTCAAGCATGTCAAATCCGTTTTTAACACGGATATTATCTTTATTATTGCATCCATTCAGCTTTACATCAGGCTAATCATAACATACAACAGAGGTGGAAATCAAGGCATGAAAAGAAAACAAGGATAGTCTATGAACCATTTCATCTCAAATTGATGCATTTAAATATAATTAGTCTTGAATCTATATTTAAAAAATTCAACTGACCTTCGGGAACTGCGCTACTGGTCATCAGGAAATGAACGCAGGCAGCTCCGGTTCCATGTCCCATGAGAGTGACATTCCCTGGGTCGCCCCCAAAGTAGGCGATGTTCTCTTGCAGCCAGTGAAGAGCAGCTATCTGGTCCATGAGTCCATAATTGGATGGAGACCTGAGGTAAGGGTCGGTGTTGGCGTTTAGGAATCCTGTAAATAAAATAAACATTAATAAAAATTTAAAAAATGACAGAAAGAATAAATAAATATAAATCTTTATTATTATTTTTAAAGAATATTTATTCATGTATTTAAAACTTTTATTTGTCACTACCATGACAGCTGTGGATAAATAATTGAAGACCAAAAAAAAAGTATTTATATGCAATAATTAAAGATATTAAAACAAAAACACACAATAGAGGCATCACATTCTAGTTTATAAAAAAATATTTTATGTAAGAATAGGAATAAGTTCCTCTGATTTTGATGTTGCTGGAAACAGATGATATTTCGGGCTCAGAAACATATCAAAAGTAGATGTCTCTTGTGGGTCACCAAAGTCAGCTTTTTTAAGACCCTCATAAGGCTTGTTCTTAATTATGCTTCTGTATGTTAGAAGATCTCTCGATCTTAAGAACTAACGCTCCTAAGATTCGAGAGGCGGATCCTTAGGAGAATTCTTGGGCCAGTGTTCAGCAATAAAGCTTGGCGACAAAGAACTAATTCTGAAATATAAAGGATGTATAAAGATGCAAATGTTGTTACATTCATAAGGATCGAAAGGCTTCGCTTGGTAGGCCATGTTTCTCGACTGAAGAGTGACGGGGTCCCAAAACGTTTAGAAGAAAGGATACACGGCAAGAGAAGGATTGGAAGGCCGAGACTTCGGTGGGCCGATGAAGTGGAGGAGGTTTCACGGTCCATCTTAGGAGTAAGAAACTGGAAGTCAGTGGCGACGAACCGAGAATACTGGAGGTTGATATTCGGGAGGCCTTGAATCACCACTGGATTTGTAGTGTCGGAAGAAGAAGAAGAATATTATTTTGATGTTTGAAAACGTAACAGTAGCAGATATAACGAAATTTTTGATAAATGCAAGCGTTGGCAGTTTTCAGGATTTGGTCAGTGATCAAGAAACTGTCAGAGTTGCAGCATTGAAGAATTCTCTTTATGGAGGCGCCCTTGGGTCAGCCTTGTGTGTTCTATTCTGACTCAAGTACTGATAGTTAGTTCCCGATGGTTCCCTACAATCAGAAGCAGAACCCATGTATATTCAGCCCATATATTCCCTTCATCTTGTTCGAGTTAGGAGCCTTCGGGCAACTAAAATCATACAGCACCGTGATATATTTAGGTAGTAGTCTCCCGCTTATCCGTACTCGCCGGAACTGAGACATCGTCGGTTAACGGGAGAGCCGGTTAATATAGAACTTATGTAATTAAAAAAAATTCCAATATTATATTAACTCCTATATTGCGAAAAAATTAAAATACATCACACAAATTAATCAGTAACACAACTGAAAAGAAAAAGTAGTAAACAAACAAAAACCTCAACTAAAACCTTTCTAACATAATATGTCAAGTCTAACGTCGGTAATTGACGTATTTACAGTACTAAACAGTAATGCAGTATTTCTTCTTCATTTGTTTTCTATTATATATATATATATATATATATATATTAATAACCAGCCATAAAAGTAGATAACTAATAGTTCTGTATTGCTTGACCTTTTTCTACTCTTAAACTATTATTATTATTATTATTATTCTGTCTATGTGATAGACAGAATTATTTCACAATTTTTTAAAATTATTTATTCTGAAATTTTTCAATCTGTGACAATTAAGGATATTTATAATAGTGTTTAGAGGAAACATTCACACTCTTTTTACAGCAAATAAAAAAAAAATAATACTATAAGTAAATCTATATAAAAAAAGAACTAAACTAATAAAAAAAAACAAGTAAAACACGAGTATACTTATCTCGCCTATAAAGACGTTTATCTTCCAAATATTAATGCTCGATAAAAATGTAAATAAATGAGGTTTCTTTAACCATGATCATGTTGTATAACGACTACTACGACTAAGTAGATAATTATAAAATTTTCAAAATAGGGGTAATTATATAGTAAGGTTGTATTAGGTTAGAACCAGAATGTATTGCAACTAGGTAACTATTACATAAGATATAAAGGTGCTATTTATTTTTTTAAAACAGATAAATAAGTTATCAAGTTAAAATTACATATTATATCTAAGCGAGTATGTATATCCACATATTCCATAAATCATGAAAAAAAGTAAATTGATTTACCTATTTTTTTTTTTTTTTGGAAATAGCTGAGTCGTAATTTATTTTAAAAAATATTAATTTGTTATTTATTATTCTTTCCTAATTACGGTTCTTTAATAATTCTTTGGTATTCAAATTATTCCTAGTTTATAGTGAAATCCACACTAACAAGAAGCAATAGTATTAATTCCATAGATGGTAGTACCCAATTAATTTGATACCATTAAAAGTTTCCACATGTTTATACTCCAACTATAAATATTAGCACACCCGAACCACCAGCTATGCTAAGCACCAATTAAATTTTATTACGCTAATATGTTCGTAACCGTTTCCTATTAAAATCCAATTAGATTTAATTGAAAAGGTTAAATTAATTAGACTTGATGAGAATGATATCTGAGAAGAAAACTCGGCATTTCACTCAAACGGGGTGTAGTAGAAAATTGAATTACGCGACCTTCGAACTCGCTAACTCAAGCCTAACTCGCTAAATTTTATGTGAAAGAGCTATAATTCCTCGGAAACCATAAGTTGGTTAAGTCGCAAACTCTAACTGCATAAATATATGTAGCAGCTCAAAGCGTTGTAAAATTTTAATTCAGTGTCACACTAAAAACGTCAATGAAATAGAATGGTAAATTGGTGAAAGATAAAAATAAAACCAATACCCCAATGAAAGAGTTGCAGGACCTACTTAATATAACTGCAGGATCGTTTGTATATTATTGAAAATATGAATGATTTTTAAAAATTAATTTTTTTTTAATTTACTTTTTTATTCAATAATATAAATTTTGTCACTTGGAAAATGATTATAGTGAGGTAATATCACATTCACACAATATATATATATATATATATATATATATATATATATATATATATATATATATATATATATATATATATATATACAAAAATAAATAAATATTTATCCACAAACATTAATTTAATTTTTAACTAAAGTAAATTTAGAAAATATTAAGGAACGTGAGGAATAAAATATAAATTATGAACAAACAAAAATATTAGTAACGCATAAAAACAATAAATAACGGATTCAATCAAGATTCAGAAATATGTGGAAGTAATTAAAAGTATAAAAATAATAATGTGAATATAAAAAGTCCTCTCCAAGCTGTGATTCACTAAGGATGAATAAAAAAAAGATATAGAAAGTGAGGAATCAGAAAACAAATAAATACTATTTTTTTCACCATTAATTCGATGAATCATTTTTTATTATATATATATATATATATATATATATATATATATATATATATATATATATATATATATATATATATATATATATATATTATTTTATATTATATTATATTTTTGTATATAATATAAAAATATGGGATGAAATAATTAATTGCTATTAATCAATTAATTACAAATAAATGATAATTGAGATTAAAACATTTTAAAACGCTGTAAATTATTACACAACGGCTTATTATTTTCAAACAGTTGTACATAAAATGTAACATTAGTTTTCTTGTAAAATAAACGGAAATAAATAAAACGTGATTACTAAATATATATATATTTTTTTCATCATAGATGTAAATCTTTCCAAAAATCATAAACCAGAACAAATAAGGGTATAAGCTTTGTAGTACAACAAATGAAATATATTATCCTTGCGCCGAATTATCTGATCTCAACTATTTTTTATTTTTATTTTTAGGGAACAACACAAACAAAAAATTGTATACTTTTTAAGTTATTTGGAAATATAATTTTACCAGCCCTTGTCACTTCTTTTCCAGCTTTTTCTTCGTTATAGTATGTTACATGGATCCATTTTAAGATTTTCGATACAGTTTTATTGAAATAGATACATCCGTTCAGGAACTACAATATGACACAGGTCTTTCGGCAATCATATAGAAAGGAATTAATTTTCGACGAATTATGTTCTAAACATAAATTTAAAGGGCGTCGAGGAGAAAACTATAGCCAAGTTTCATTTAAATCGGTACATTCATTGAGGCGCTACAGTGTGTAACATCACATGCTTTATGGCCGCCATCTTGAAAGTAAAAGAGGGATATTAATGTCGAAGTAGTACGATCATAATCGGGTAACCACTGACTTTGGTTTTAAAACTGCGAAAAATTGCTTCAGTAGCTTCGGAGAAAAGCCGCAGACGGTGTACGGGGACAAGCAATTTTTTTTCGATTTTCGAGTTCTACGTATCCTGAAACATAAAATCTCAAATGTTTAGAGGGGAGGATTAGGTTCATGAATTTTTTGGTCAATAACAATAGTTCGTTATTGAGAATAATAAATCAAAATTTAGGTTTAATTCATAAGATGTTAATTAAATTAACGATATAAATAAAAAAAAAGTCAACACTTATTTTTATTATGGATGGCTCTTATGTACATCTGTATGGTTATAGCAATAAATTTATTCAACCATATAAGAAAAAAAAATATAATGTTCAATACTGAGTGAGTATAATAATTATAACCAGACAGTGAGTATAGCATTCATGTTTTAACTGATTGAGTATATATTTTCTACGAAAAATTTTATTTTAATAAATGTTTATTTTACTCGTATATACTCGTGCTCGTGCAATCCTATCAGTATTGTAACAGGATATTTACTGTAAAGTGATATCATGATTAAATTAAAGAAAAAAAACATCACATACAAAGCAATGAGTGCTTTAATTAAACAAGTTCATTTTGAACAATTAATTGAGAATGAAATAAAATTAAAACAGAGGCCCATATTATCTTTGCATTTATTTCAAAGGTAATAAACTATTGTTTTAAAGTGAAACAAGAAAATTAATCAAAATATATTATTATTTTTTAAACTTTATTTAATAAATAATTTATACATTTAAATAATATTTTAGAATTTAAATTTTTTAAAACTATATTTTAGTGAGCATTTTTATGTTTCAATTCAAGAAATTATCAGTCTATAACTAATTTTATAATATACAAATTAAATCAAATCACAAGATATAAAACATATTTACAATTATTATTTAATATTTGGATTGTTTCAGGCTCTAGTATGATTTTATAATAGATAAAATGTTTTAGTTTTTTAAATTAAAATAGACGTATCGCCATTTAAGTATTCTCAGCATATCTAAAAAATGTACATACAATTGTTTAAACATAAACTTTTTTTTTTGAATAATTTCATAATTAACATTCAAAACATCATCATAAACAATCAACTGCTTTTCATATATCACATTTCACATTTTCATGAAAAACTTTTTTTTTCATTTATTTATGATATTTACAACTGTATTAAAAAGTAAAATACATTAAGTAAATTTGATAACAGAAAATAATAACATGAAATCATTAGTGGAGAAACTACTCACTGGAAGCACTCTAAAAAAAAATGTATTTTTTATTTATTTATTATCCTGAGACCATTTTCTTTTCAGACGTATCGGAGGGTTATCAGGATAGAAGAGGAAGCGAGGTTAGAGATGAGTGGATTCGGATGGTACTGAAGTATATTATGGAAGGATAGGTATCTGGATTGGGCCAAATCCAAAAGTTAAGAAACATTAAAGTAGTTATGGATTATTTTATTGGTGACAGAGTAAGGAGCATTAAGGACTTTCCGAAGGATTTTGGATTGTAAGGATTGGATACAAGAGGAATTCGATTAGTAGAGCCCTAAAGCTCAACACCGTAAGTCCAAATAGGTCTTATTGTACTCATGTATATGAGCTTTTTGTAATTAAATGGAAGCTTAGAGCGTTTGTAAGTGTTGGAGTACTTGGAAACGTCGAGCAGTTTCTTTTCGTTTAGTCTGGTATGAGGATTCCAAGTCTGACGTTTGTCCAATTGGAGTCCAAGGTACCGGATTGGTTCAACAGGGATAAGTGGGGTATTATTAAATGATACTCATGAAATACAAACATTTTTTTGTGCAGTCCTTTATGTTATACTTACATAATTTATATAAGTATAAACTTACATAACACCCGTTTACAAAAAGGTGTCGTTCGTTCCAAGCAATCCAAATTTAGAACTTGCTTAGGGTATCTAATCCTCTCTCCAACTAAAAAAAACGTGCCTTCATCAGGTTTTTTTCTTTTCAAAAAACGGTTTAGAAACATTCTAAAACTTGTGTTAGTAGTCATTATGACCAGTTTTTTTCCACCTTAAAAGCTTTTAAACCACTTCCTACCTACATTATTGTCTCTTGAAGTTTCGAGGGAGCTCCGACTTTTTACATTGCGTTTTATCAATCTCGGTAAAGCGATGTTTCTTGTAATATATGTCTTATTATGCTTATTATTATTACAAACACGTGATTAATTTTATACAATCTTTAATTATCATGCACACATACACATATCAAAACAAGAAAATCCTCAGAAATTCAGTTGTAATAATATATAATATTTATTTGAGTATTGGTAATAATTAGAGACCGGATTTCCATGTTACATTTTATTCACTTGTATTTAAAAACTTCAAACCCAGTTATCTAACCGTTTCACGATTTGTAGAATAAAATATTGAAATTTGATATTGTAAGAACAAGCATTATTTGGCTTCAACATCGCGATTTTAATTTTTGAAGTAAATATTTACCTTTTTATTTTACAAGTTTGCCCTACTTAAATTTTTAATTAATAAAAAAAATACACGAAGGTAATATTTTTGAGGATAGCAACGGTTCAAATTTAATTACTAAAAGAAGAAAGAAGTAATTAAAGTTGGGGAATATTCTTGAAATAAAACATGCGTAAAGAGTTGAATAACAATATAAATGTGCTTTCATAGAATAATCTGTTTTCTTGGAAATACATTAATTGTTATACTTTTTATTTGAATTTTTCTGCCCTTCTATATCCCTTTTGGCTTTGAGGTGAATTTTAATAATTTCATTATTATTAAAATAATATTTAATAATGCCAAACGTAGATTCCAGTCTGTCCAAATTTATATTCTGAACACCAAATTATCCTGAGTTGAAATTTTATAGAAAAATTTTCTTCTGTAAGCTCATTACAAAATGAATCGGATTTGATAGAAAATAACAAATCGATTTTTTTTTCTCAAATAAATATATTTTTTTAGTAATTTAACAAATAGCACAATAACACTAATCTTTAAACACTAGAAAATATCCAATATTATTATGTTTTTATAAAGTTTCCTAAAATTCTGAGGATTTTGTTTTAATTTATTTTTTTATCGATACATATTATTTTAATTCAGAACTTTAACACAAGGTTTGACCAAATTTTGATGTATCAATATAATAAATAAAATAAAATACACGATATTTGCACGTTTTAGGTAATAATTACATAATCTTGCATATTATAGGTTTTTACTGAACGATTTTGAGTTTTTTGCTGCACATCTTTCCGATTTTTACTGTGCGATATACGGTCTCCAGTAATTGTTTTTTATTTATTTTTTTAAATATTGAAATTCAATGATTACCAATTGTTTCAAAGTAAACTAGACAACATTTGCTTTTATCGTAAGTAGACATTTCTCTTATTAATCTAGAAGAAATTTTTAGCAAATAAAATTAAGATAAGGTTTTTTTTTTTTTTTACAATCATGGATTATTTTAAATTTAAATCACCATATATACCAAAAATATAAAATTAACAAAAGTAAAATAATAATAAAAAGAAAGTATGTACTATAGAAAATAAAATAACTTAAGGATAAGTAAATTAAAAACATAACTATATACAATATGTACAATCAGGCAGGGAACCCCAAGCCAGGCTTCCCCCTCCAACTATAGAAGTAAAAGCAGGACTCTAGAGATCCCTGCACTACTCTCAACAGTCACTGGTTCTAAAGCCAGTGGAGCTGGTAATAATATTGAAATTGTTTTAAATGGCAGTACTAAATTTCTCTTCAGAATCACAACACCAAATCAATCATTGTTAAAATATTATCTAACACAAATTCATATCACAAAAATTGCTGGTCGTTTTATCCCAAGTATTTTTAGTTAACTTGAATACATTCACCAACCATCTCTCAATTTATTTATTTTTTTTAAGATAATCATGCTCCCTTCGGGAAAAACAGAAATTTTGTACAGACAACCGGATTTTATTTAGAAGACGAAATATATCAAATTAGTTTAAATAAGATTCAGGACAATACTGAGTCTTAAGATTAATTTGGTTTCTCGTTAGATCTTCATCCTCACATGTTAATAAAGCATATTTAATGTTATTGGTATTAAGGGCACTATAGGTATCTAATATTTTAAAATATTATCCGTTCTTTGTCAGTACTTCTGACAGGTGTGTGTAAAAAAAAAAGTTAAAAAAAAGGATTCTCTCTATTGTATAAAAAAAAATTTAAGTGACTCATAATTTATTCGTTTTGCTGATTACACTATATTGAAAAAAATAATACAATCTGAACTATAGAATAATAGTTATATAATTTGAACATCGAGCAATACAATTTTTTGAGCAGTTGTATAATTTTTAAAAATGGGAATTGGTCTATCGTTTGGCAGACAGGGAGTAGTTATTTATCAAATGATAATATAAATTTAAATATGTTTAAATTGTCTAAAAATAATAAGACTGAAATAGATTTTACATGAAGTATTTCTGATTATCTATACAACGGAGGTAAATAACGTTATGTCCATTTTTGTATTTGTTCCAGGGAACCAATATTGCATAACTTTGTGCTAATAAAATTTATTTCTTTATTACTAAATCTGTACTCCGGAGTTAATGGTGACGTTTTGTATTTGTGCAGAAAGCCAATTTTCCATAACATTGAGCTATTAAATTTCTAATAACTATTTAATGAAAAAATGAGTATGGTGTCGTTTACCTCCGGGTCACTGATATTATCTTCGTATTCAAAAAACGTTGTCATATAAATGCAATTGAAAAACAAAAATCTGGTATAAAAATGAAACTTATCCAAGTTGACATGCATTATTCCTTATCACATTCACATGCACCATTTAAAATCCGATGGTACTTGGAAGAAAGCAGTGGGTGGCAGAAGTTGGCCGACCAGCTCGTATTGTTGCAGGCCTTTGTTGAGACCCTCCTTTGTTGGCAACTAAGTTGAAAATTACCGAGCCACCAAACAAAGGCAGGGGATTGCACCCCCATCTCCACCCCCCTGATTTAAACTGGGCCTAATTGATCTTAAACACTCTCGTGTCCTCTGGGCTTAACCCGTCTAATAGCCGCCTTCCCAGTATTTCATGGAATATTTCTTGCTGACCTATAGACCTTTCTTGTCCAGAATCATGCTTACGTTCTTGAAAATAGCAGATTGTATTTTAATATAAGAAAATCAATTCCAATAAATAAAAAGAAAAAAAAAATAGAGGAATAACTTAAATATATTTCTAAAAAAAAACCTTTACTTTTACATAATGTATAATTTTGACATGGTTCTGATCGCATCAGTTGTATATGCATAAATGTTTGAAAAGAACATTTATGTACAGGGAACAGATTTGGACACCAATGACCTTTTCTCTGAGCCGAGCTCTGTCCTGGGCAACAAAGATTAGAATCTATAAGACGTTGATCCGCCAAGTCCTCGTTCTTAGCTCCGAAAAGTCACTAATGACTGACTTTATTAGATTTTCAATCTTGTAATATAAGAGGAAAATCCACGAAAAATATTTGGATATATAGGCATGTATACATCCCGTCTATTAAGGAATTACAAATAATGTACTTAAAACAAAGTATAAACAACAAGATATATTCCAAATGATTGAAATAGGATCATCAGTCATCATTCGGTGGGAGTGGTGGATCATTCTAGTTGAGTCATTATCGTCACACACCATAAGAATATTAGAAAAAAATAACACCTAATTTGTAACAAAGTTCTCGCTCTTTATACGGTCTCACCAGCTATTCAAGATCATCCAGAATATGAAACTAATATTCATATTCCATTACTACAATGTAGGTATATAATTGCATTATTTTTGTATTATTTGATTTTAGTCATGTGCACATTATATTTGTTACTTTTTTCTTTTCTTCCTTGTCTTTTTACTAATCAGCTGTTCAATGTATAACCTGCCTTAGCTATGTTGATGGAACATTCTCTTTCCTTTATTATGTATTTTGATGGCTTGGTGAGATGTCTTCAGTAACTTATTTTCTTCTTTCTGCACATATTTCATCTCGATTTTTCGATGATTGTATTATTGATGGAACTACAAATTATAACAGAATATCATTAAAGTATAACGAGATGGCAATACAGTGATGTAAAAATAGAGTTATAAAAAAAAGAGAAGAGAAGAAACGCAAGGGTTTTAAAAATAAGAAAAGAAAATATATAAAATTTCATTCATAAAATAATTCTATGGAGATGATAAAATAATTCCAGTCGTAATTAAAGGGAGAAGAAACCACTTTGTGATTTTCGAAACAATTGAAATCTGAAACTTATCGAGGAATCGTTAGCGGGTCAGAATAAAAACGAAAAAAAATAATATAATTGTTACCATCAGCAAACCTATTTGTTATTCCAACAAGCAATTTGTTAGGGGTTTGCCAATCACCATTAGCGCGGATTGCCGGTAAGAGTTCGTTTTCAATGCTACGGGTGCTCTGATTACTAAACAAATTGTTGTTCGGCCATTTTATCCAATCGGCTCTCCCGGTTATTAAAAGGGCGTATTGGAGTAAATTGACAAAGTGCATACTTCAATCGGATGCTAACTTTAACGTCGGCAAGCGGCCGGTTTTTTTTTTTTTTGTTGTTGTTGTTTTTAAGCTGTGAAAAGAGCTTGGTTCTCTTGTTGAAAATAAAGCCTTGCAACAAAACTGTGTGGACTAAGAGACAAAGATAGATAAGAGCTGTCCCCCCGAACAAGGGCGCCCTTTCAGGAAGACTCGACCCCGACGACAGGTCAGATATCCACTTTATAAAGGTTCAAAGATCTTCCTCGGCTGAGGGAAACCCACACTCATTCACAGTATAAAAATAATTTTCCATCCCAGGAAAAAAAATTAAACTATTTCCTTATTCATCCACTAATATTTTTACCACTTCTTTAAAAATTTAATTCTGCATATCCCCTTTTATGAAAAAAAATATTCTACCATAACCATGGTGCGTCAAAAACATTTCTCTCAATACCTTATTTTCACTAAAATTATTATTATTATTTTTTAATTTTATTAAACTTTAATCATATTAATTTAATTATAAATACGATTTTACGACAATTCTATACGCTTAAGATTTTTTATAGATTTTCATTTGCCTATTGGTCATAAATAAATTAATCATAAATTAGTATTTGATTGAAAAAATTATTTGTACGTTTCGAGGAAACTCTGTCCTCCTCCTCAGCAATATAATATTCACTCAAGATAATGGGTTAGTCACAAAAATTACAATTCAATAGAATCGGTCAATGGTAATTAAATAATATCCATTGACCATAGGCAATGGATAGGTTTTGATGTTATAGGCGAAAACATCCAGGTCATCAGAGCCTTATCCATAAAATATCATTATTAAATTATTTAACTGGTAGATTTAATGGAAGAAATATATAAATAATAATTTAATAAATAAATTTAAAAATAAATAAATAAATAATTTAAAAAATAGAAAAAAAAATATTAAAGTGACGCGGTTGAGAATGTAGTACAGAGATCTTTAGGATTCCTTTTCTTTCCATAGTTAGAGGGACCTGCCTCGGAGTTCTCTCGACTGACTGTAAATAGTGTATATAGGTATGCCTGTGTGTCAGTTTTTATTCTAATTTAGTTATCGCTAAGTTATTTTATTTTTATTTATTGTATAATTTTTTTTATTATTATTTTTCTTCTGTTATATTTTCTGTACATAGGTGAATGTGGTCTTATATTATTATAATTACTATATTTGTTTTTTCTTGTTTCTTGTCCACCCCTACCTCACATTTTAGGTTATACGTGTGTTTTCCCTGAACAGGAGGATAGGGCGGGAGATTAATGTCAGTGTTAAAACCTCCCCCAGCGTCGGGATGCGAATTCCTATTAACTAGTAACTATTTTATATCTAATAAACTCCAGTTTATCAATCATCTAGTTGCCGGAAAACGCGTGTTTTTCAACTACATTTGCCCGCCACCACTCCCACCTGTAATTATTGTAGATGTGACAATAATAACCGATAAATTAATAAAAAAAATTGTATTAGTCGGTGGTAGTAGAGTTCTCACTCAACCTCCACTGGCGTTAATAACGATGACGTGGTTGAGAGGGAAGCACTGGGATCTCTTAAAGCGTAACTTTTCCCTCTTTACGTGCAAAGAGTAAGAAGCTTGGTTACGAGTTCTCCTGGTTATTTTACCTTTTACAGTTAATTTTTTTTCCTTTAGGATATTTGAGTTTTTTCATATTCGTATGTATTATATTGCTATTACTTGATTAATATATTAATATTACCAGTAAATATGGCGTGAATATGATTCTTATATATATTTTAACTTTTCTTAATTGAAACATATAGTAATATTTCTTAATAAACAATAATAATATATCTTTTCCATTGGTTTCTATTTAGTTTCCATTAAAATCATTATTCCATATTCATTGATACATAAAAGTTGATTTTTAATTAACTACGGCTAGTAATATATGTGCTGTTGTATGCTAAGGGGAACTCTCACATTAAAGAATATTTAAAAAATGATGACCTATAGACTTATAGACCTACAGTCTTAAAACTTCTTGAGGAGTAATCAGGAAGTAATCGGCGAACGCTATTCCAAAGTAGAATAATCTCTAATGAAAGATCATGAGAAAACTTTGCTCTTTTAATCTGCCTCTCAGTCTTTCAGAAAGCAACAGTTGTAGAGAAAAGAAAATTGAAAGCGCCTTCAAACGACGATGCTTAGAATATCAAATATTCTTAAATATATATATATATATATATATATATATATATATATATATATATATATATATATATATATATATATATATATATATATATATATATATATATATATTGTATACTTTAGATGTTTGGATTTTAACATAAGTCAATATTTTTAATTTATGTAATTTTGATATATTTTTTTCTGGAGGTTTTGCTTTTTCTTTCAGCACATGTATTTTTTTTTTCAGTAATATTATGAGTATAGTTGAGATTTTATTTTAATTTTAATAATTTACATACTATTATTTAAGTTGCTGTATATATTGTTTGAATCTTTATTAAGTTAGTTTTTGGACAGATATATATTTTTTGTTTTTTAATTGTTCATAATTGTTATTCTAAGGGGACATAGTCCCATAATAAAGTTTATTTTCTATTTCTCTCTCTCTCTCTCTCTCTCTCTCTCTCTCTCTCTCTCTCTATATATATATATATATATATATATATATATATATATATATATATATATATATATATATATATATATATATATTGCACGAGTATAATAATAATGATTAAGATTTTACATTTGTGTGTTTATAAATATTTAAAAATCCGTCCTAGATTTATTTTATATTTTCATCTCAAAATAAAAAAATTAAACCCCTATACTATAAATAGGAAAAAAAATATCCCTCCTTGCCTGTTATTCCGGAAAATCCTTCTGTTATGGATTAATGACTACGCCATCTTCTTTGTTGGAACAGTCATTAGAGATCCCACCAACCGCTGGTTTCCCATCAAGTCATTTTCACATCATTTATCACAAAATCCACCACATTTTGTAATTAATTGCTCATTTGTTGATCTCGAAGAGTGGTCGTTAATTTTAATATAAATATAACATTGACCTGTAAAGTGTGTCGTCAGAAATTACTGATTTTTTTTCCAGATAATTGCCGTAAATCCTAAAGGAATAAATAAATTTTACTTTAATAAAATTATTCCTCAAACGCTTTTTGAAAATTATAATTTAATATGGTATAAATTATTATTATATGCAGCATAATATAGGGGAAAAATAATATACCTAGGTTTTAATATTAATATTTAAAACCTAGTATTGAATATAGTAAAAATTATAATTATTTATAGTATAAAAAATTAATATACCTACTATAAAAACTGTTATTCAATTAGGTATAAATTTTATATTTATACAAAAGCTTCCAATTTTACATTTACACGCATACATAAA